GGAAGCCTCTTCCAACAGGCTGTTCTCTTGCTGAACTTTCCCTGGGCCGGGAAGAGCCATATTGCCTGGAGACTTGAACTCAGCCCATCTCTGATTTTTGTTTCCCTCCTCTCTCTCAGGGACTGTAGCATCAGGCCCGGCCTCTGCTTCAATTTCCCCCTTGTGGATCCAGTAATTGCATCAAGGCTCTCCTGTATCAAATAACACCCCTTCGTGGGTTCTGGTTTATGAAACTAACAGCACAGTTCAATTTCAACTTAAGTCAAACTAGTCTTCCCCTGACTCCTGCAGCCCCTTTGTGCACCCTCAGCCTGCTCAGTTATGCTAAGGACTGGACGGATCCCTGGAGTCTGACAGTCCCTGAGGTAGCAAGGAGCTAGCCACGTCTGCCCATGCTGAGTGGCACCCAGATTCTGGGCCCATGTTTGCTTAGTTTGGGAGCCCTTCACTGTGTAGTGTGAATACTCTGCACAGTAGGAAGGAGAAATCGGACAAGTTGCACATCTACCTCGGTGGTTGGGCTGCTCTTTGTGCCTTAAAGAGGTCAGCTCTGTATATTTGTATTCTTACCTTTCCCTGGCCTGGTTTCCTGTTTGAGTCTTCCAGACAGGCCTGTAGCGGGGCACGATTGACTCAGAACTCCGCTTCTTAAGCTTGAAAATTCTCTAGATCCTGTGTCATCTCCAGCCTGACAGGAAACGGTTACACTGAACATTCTCCGTGGTTGCCTTTAAACGGTAATGACCGATAGCCAAGGCCTTCCTTTTGAGGGAACTCGTTCCTTGTCTCTTTGGCCTTTTATCTGCATTTATTATTAAAAAGTCTCTGGTGTATCCTTGATCTCATTTCCTCCCCTCTTACCCCCCCAAAATCACACTGTTCAGGCTTTATCAGCTGCCTTGTATTATTTTAAATGCTTTTCCCACTGCTGCCAAGTTTATATGGCTGCAGCTCACCTCAGTCCAAGGCAGAGCAGTGACTAGCACTGTATAAATACCCTAGATCGATAAAGGGATATCTCAGGTTATTGGATGCTGCTGTAGTGCCAGGGCTTTTGTTCAGTTATAAACAATGATCTGAAACACTAGCTGGAACTAATTCTGCACTGCTGTTGGGCATTTGCCAAGGCAGTATCCTGGCATGACCGGCCCCATG